ATGGTTTAGTTGATTCAGTAAGTTCGGTCGGTTTGGTTTTTCTTTTTTGTTTCTCCAAGCTGCCGATGACTAGTTCCTGTGGCGGCAGATAAGTCAAGTCGGTGATCGGAGTATTCTGAAATCATCAACAACCCAAAAGTTGAGAGAGATGCCGCAACCAAGCAAAGAGCCGTGCAAGAAAGAAGCTTGTGACATTCAAGCATGTCTCTCCAAGAATAATTTTCTTCCTCAAAGGTGACGAGTGACGAGGACGCATTCCTTTTTGTTACCGCCGTTTGATTATTATTCATTGCGGTTGTTCGTAAAATCGATTTTGATGGAGAAAATATTGTTTTTTTTTTCTAATTAATTGGAGAATGGGGGGGTTGTGATCCTAGTTTTTGGGGGTTTAGGGTTCATAGATCGATCAACAAACTTGAGGCTTCCAGCTAAGTTATTTCTCTTGTTAGCAAGAGATTTTTTTTGATGCATTCATGATTTGGCTTTGAGAATCTCCTTTCTTAGTAGCTGTGAGCTTTGGTTTGGAGATTATGGACCAATTTTCCTTAGAATTAGGTGATTGTTGTGAATTAGATCATTATCACTCTGTTTCGTGAGAATTCACGATACACTATCGTGGTAACTGTATGATGTCAGGCTTTTGATGTAGATAGTTTAAAGGATCAACCAGTGATTCACAATCACAAAAGCTTGAACTTGGGGTCACTCACTCTACCTAGTGTGTAGGGGTGGGCACAATTACTTGTTACTTGGCTTGTACTCGCTACTTGATTCGTACTTGGCTCTTAAAGTTGAGTACTCGTTTTGTCCAAGTCGAGTATCAAGCCGTTTGTTTCAATTACTTGCAAGTACAAGACAAGTACCAAGTACTAAAATAAAAATAACTACTTGGCGTTGTTGGTTTGTTACTCGTGATTTATTACTTGATTTATTACCCGTTTTTTATTTTTAGACAAAAAAATCTCTAAATTATAATCAAATTACTTGTTTATAAAAAAAAATTAAAAGTGATATATAATAGAAATATTTTAAAGTTTTCTTTTAATTTTATATTTATAATATATCGATTTAAAAACATATGAAAAGTAAATAGATATTCTTTATTAAAAATTGTTTAGATTATAATTATAACTAACTAAATGTTTTTAAAGTCATATACAAGATTTAAGTAGCACACATTAACAAACTTTTATTAAATAATTTAAAATAATTATATAATCATTTATAAATTAGTTGAGATGCAACAAGTACTAAAACGGAACAAGTACTTGCAAGTATAACATTTTTTAGCAAGTACTTGAAAGTGCAAGTATTCGTTTTTAATAAACCAAGTTCAAATCCAAAATTTTATTACTCGAACAAGCCAAGCCAAGTACCAAGTAAGCCAAAAATGGCAAGTACTTGGCTTGTGCCCACCCCTACTAGTGTGAGAAAATAAGATGGAGATGAATGTGTAGAAGAGATTTACATTGAATTGCTGTGGTTTCTTTTTGTCAGATAACCAAAAAGCAGGACAAATTATACATATGTTTTGACTTGGATTGTAATAAGGTGGCTCTCTTGAAGAGAAAGTATCGAGTGCATTGTGTGCACTTACCTTGGTTTCTTGACATCATTCTGTCATGTATGAATTCAATATTAGGAGACTATTGATAGGCAAAGGAGAGTCCAGTTAGTAGTTTTCACTATATTAGCTTGCAAGTCAGAAACCTCTGTACTATAAGGAAAGCCCCATGGATGTGCATTCTTTTTCTAAATATCGTTACAGAATCCTGTGAATTTGTTAACAATTTTGATTTCATGATATATATTAGATAAATGAAATTCCTTGTTAAGCAATGTTATCATCCACAAATAGTTTAAATTGGAGAAGGCTAATTAGATCTTGTGTGAATTTGGGGGGTGCAGGTGCCAGACAGTGATAGAGAAGTTACAAGCTTGTTGTGAGAAATGCAATAACGATTCAACGCACTGTGGATCTGTAGTTGCGCTCTTGAAGCAAATCAAGAAGTAATAATATGTAATCCAAGGACGAGAGAGGGAGAGGCATCAACAAGAAGAGACTTGAATACACATTTATTTACTCATTTATGTCGCCTCTGATATGATATGATATCTTATTTTGTATAAATTTGACGTCACTCTTCCAAATAAAACATTTTTAAAAAATCACGAGTTTCCACGTGGACACTCGTCTGCTTTATAACGGCCGAGATATTTGCAGAAACTAATATCCGCCGACCATTTCCTCCTCCTCACGAGCATCAACCATGTCAATTGCGACTCCCCTCACTACCACTCTTCAACGCTCTCCTCCTCCTCTCGTACCTTCCTTCTCTCCGATTCATGCAACCACTGTTTCCGTTACCGGAATTCCCAAGAGATGCCTACTCAGGATGGTGACTTCTTGCGTCTCCCACTCTCAGAGCTCTGTTCAGAACGGTGTCACAGACGCTGTAGTATCTGGGAGAAACCAGATACGTCTTGGTCTTCCTAGCAAGGGACGCATGGCCACCGATACTCTAGATCTTCTCAAGGTGAGTACTGTTGTTATGAGAATTCTCAAATCATTTTTTTTATTTTTAACTATTGTTTCTTGTGCTGTTTTTTTTTTATCTGAGTGTGCGAAAGCTTCTTTCTTTATCTAAAAGTGAGAGTGCATTTGATTTTTACAATCTCATTTTGCTTTACTTTCTCTTGAAGGATTGTCAATTGTCTGTCAAACAAGTGAATCCGCGGCAATACGTTGCTCAGATTCCTCAGGTACGTATTTGTGAAAGGGAGGCAACAACAGTGGCTTTTGTGTTTTCTATTGTTTTGTCTCAGTAATCTTTTTTTTTTTGTTTCTTGTCGGACAGCTACCAAACACTGAAGTTTGGTTTCAACGGCCAAAAGACATTGTTAGAAAGTTACTCTCCGGAGATCTTGATTTAGGCATCGTTGGTCTTGACATTGTTAGCGAGTTTGGTCAGGTATATATATCTTGATTAGCATTTACTTGTTGAGATTCTAGGATACCTTACTTAGTGCTTCTCATTGTTATTATACTGATATTCCATGGTGGAGATCTCTTCTGTGATTTACCTTTGGCATTGTGAAGCTGTACTATTTTGAGTTAGATTATAGTCTCAAAGCCACTTTTTGCATCATATCTGAGTTGTTTTGAGTTTTGTTTCCAGGGAAATGAAGATCTTATCATTGTTCATGAAGCTCTCAACTTTGGAGACTGTCATCTCTCCCTTGCGGTACGTTCTTACATACAGTGGTTGTGGCATTATCATCCCTATTGATTGACTTCTTGAGTGCTCTTTTCATATGATTTCAGATACCAAATTATGGGATATTTGAGAACATTAATTCTCTCAAGGAGCTAGCACATATGCCTCAATGGACTAAAGAAAGACCTTTACGAGTTGCTACAGGCTTCACTTATGTATGTTGAGTTACAATTTTCCTTTGGTGCAATAACGTTCATTAAATTTTATTCAGAATGCAATTTGATTGTTTTGGAATCATCCAATCTGCGTTTGCAGCTAGGACCCAAATTTATGAAAGAGAACGGTATAAAGCACGTGACCTTTTCAACTGCAGATGGAGCCCTAGAGGCAGCTCCTGCGGTGAGATTTACTTTATCTGCATATTAGCCTTAGAGTTCGACTTATGTTCCCTTCCATAAGGTGGCTTCGATTTGGTATGAAAATGTATAGTAGATTAGATCTTTCTGCAAGAGAGCCATGTTATTGAAGGTTTACTCGTGGTTTCATTTCTGGAAGATTTTTAGCCGGCTTGGAGGGTCTTGTTATCATTGATAGCTCTTAGTAGTCTCAGATGATGGATTGTATTTGTTAACTGAAAGAAATCACAATTTTTTGGAGTGTTTATTAACACATTATTTTCTTGTAATTAGATGGGGATAGCTGATGCCATTTTAGACCTTGTGAGCAGTGGGACAACTCTTAAAGAGAACAACTTGAAAGAGATTGAAGGAGGGGTGGTTCTGCAAAGCCAGGTTTGATGTAAAGATATATGGAGTTAGTTATTGTTCTGCCCTTCAGCAGCTGTTTCACCGGAACACTTTTTCTTTTGTACTATTAGGCTGCACTGGTGGCTAGCAGGAGGGCATTGACTGAGAGAACAGGAGCACTAGACACAGTGCATGAGATTCTCGAGAGATTGGAAGCCCATTTGAAGGCAGCTGGTCAATTCACTGTATGCACAGAGTAGTTGTAATGTTTTCCCCATGATCTCTACTTTTGTCCTCTTTCATCTTATGTTTTCACTTCAGGTTGTTGCAAACATGAGAGGAACGGATGCTGAGGAAGTGGCTGCACGTTTGAAAACCCAACCATCATTATCAGGATTGCAGGTAGAACTTGAGAACATTTGTAGTTCCCACTGAAGATTGGCTTATAATGTCTATCTGGTGTATTCTCCAACAATAATTGCACTTCTTTTGTGATGTGCAGGGACCAACAATAAGTCCAGTTTACTGTAAACGAGATGGAAAAGTATCTATTGAGTTCTATGCCATTGTGATATGTATACCCAAAAAGGCTCTATACGAGTCTGTGCAGCAACTGAGAGCGGTTAGTGTTGTCTTCTATCTTGCTTCCACCTAGCGCCATTTTACTCCTAAGATGACTCATTTTACAAAGACGTGTTCATTCTTAAGATGTTTAGTTTAGTGATATGTGATGGATGGTGAAATGTGATTTGCAGGTGGGAGGAAGTGGGGTGCTGGTTTCACCTCTAACATACATTTTTGATGAGGAGACTCCTAGATGGAGTCAGCTTTTGAGTAACCTCGGACTTTGATGCTGCTTTTTAGTCGGACAAATGCTTTCAATCGTTGACTTTTGATATTTTCGAAAAGAAACAGATAGATGTCTCGTTTAAGTCTTTTGTACTTTCAGATCAAGTTCCGGATGATAGTTAAGAATTTTATCAAAAGTTAAAATTCACTTTTGTCTTTTTGTAACATCCTCTTTGTATATTCATTTGCTCAACTCAAACCGAACAAACAGATCGCATGAAATTATAACTTTCATAATTTAATATAATGAGAGTCGCACTCATTAGGTTCATCACTCAGGAATCAAGATCTATGATGTAATCCATATGAATACATAGTACCTCTATCTACTCCTCACTGTTACAGAAATGAAATCTTCATGGGAATTCATATTTGACACGCGCAAGATACAGACCAGAGGCAGGAGCCATGGGTTTGCCTGCAGCCACATTCTTCGCCTTCAGGATTCTTTCAACTGAAATAACAAAAATCCCCCAAAAAGAAGCTTTTAAATTTTGTTCAATGAAACAATTACTGTAAACTCTACAAGGGAGAGAGACATACCGTCTGAAACAGTCAATTCTCCAGTGCCTACACATTTCAATACTGCTACAAGCAGTCGAACCTGCACGCCAAATCAAATTGTTTTTTACTTCTCATATCTATGAAGAGACTACAGTTACAAAATATGATCTACCAAGAGAGGCAATATATATAATCAAACCTGGTGGTAGAGAAATCCGCGGGAACGCGCTGTTACAAAATAGCAGCGGTGTTGTCTTCTTAAACCGAAAGTATCGCCATCTGTAGACCCCACCAACTCACCTACATTTGTGGTAACACCAGCAGTCTGAGTCTTGGGTTGACTGGAACATGTGAGAGGATCTCCATTGTTTAGGTTACTCCCAGCCCTTTCCGTGAGGGATGGAAAACATGGAGTTGATGGTACTTCAGTGACACTGAGTTCATCTAAAGATCTCACCGGTGACTTTGCCTGCAACAGAAAATCATTTGTCGAAAGTTTATCAAGTATTCGGAAAACATCAATCCACACTAGATAAATAAGTTCTACCAAACCACAAATTAGATGCATGGATCAGCAAATTATGAAAGGCTTCACATGTTATACTGGTAATGTATTAGATAACGAGATATGTTTAAACTAGAAATTTGACCTGGCAACCAGATGCCCTGAAGGAGCTAAAATCATGAGATCCAACAAGAATTTTGCATGCTTCCTGTCCAACAATGATTGACAACAATCGTTAGAGATTTATTCTTTTATAGTGTGGTAAGGAGTGTTATCTTTTAAGGGAAAAGAAAAAAATTGGATCGCACTGCTGGTGTTGATTATACTAGCAGAAAAGCTTATCAAAACAGAAGTAGGTGAACCTGCATAGCTCGAAGATCTAGCTCCTCAGGAACATGCCAGGCACGGTCTTTTTCAAGAATGGATAAAGGTTCCGGCCCCGATAGCAAGCGGTAGAAGTATCTACAGCGAGTTTCATGAATACATTCAGTATTGTCAGTTGACGTCAGACATCTTCGATACCCAAAATATAAACTAAAGGTGGTTAACACAAAGTAACACTCTTGCAGCATAACCTAGTGGTTCCATAACAGGATCATCATATGCTTAAAACACTGAAATGTCTAGAACAGTGGAGTCTTAGCTTCTCTAAAGAGTGATGTACAGAGAATACCTACGTGCGGTCCTTGGCCTTATATCTGGCATGGTAATTATATGGGACACACCGAACATCAATCACCATAACATCACCTTCATTTTTCTGATTAGTTAAAACGTAAGGATTTTTATGAGATAATCGGTAGCAGATAGATCAAACTAGGTGAAAGAAAGCACTTTTCGGAAAATACAGATCAGAAAAACTCTTAGCAAAAATATAGACTTCAGGTAAACTTTGTTAGCATCACCAGTTACATGCTATAATTGTGAGAGTAAGCGTGAAATGAGAAAAAATAACCATTGTATCCAATTGTATAAACCTGTAAGAAATGGTTCACAGCTTTCTGGACGACACTAGGTTCATGAGGTGGTAACTGCATTTAGACAAAAGGGTTCAGTGAGAATGCTAATATAAATATATTCCTTAATAGATGCCAAGAACATTAAGCATAAAGATAATAACACCAACTGTAACCCCACAGAATAAATAGCAGTGGGTGCAAAAGACATACCACTTCACCAGGCTTTCTTTTACTGACGCGTTCCACATCTACATGGCAAACATTTGATAGTGCATGCACTCCTGCATCCTAGAGCCATAACAATGTCAAACTAAGTTAAACCAAAAACAACAAGCATATCATCACCCTAAATCAGCTAGCCCTAGTTCATTCAAAACCTTTATGTATCGTGGCAAAGGCAATCCAAAACTAGATTAAACATTTCTTCAAACTTAAGATGGAAAGACCAAAACTTTTAACTCGGAGGCCAATAAAAAATAATGAAAAAAAATCTCACCGTTCGACTTGAGCACAAGATCTTAACTGGCTGGCCAATAAACTTATGAAAAGCCTCCTGCAATGAATCAAATCACAACAAGAATCATTCTATATAAACTGATATGAACTCTGCTCAAATCACAACCAAACAGAGAAGAAGCAGAGCATTTACTCCAACCGATAAGAAAAATGTTTTTTTTTTAAATAAAGAAGGCAGAAACACCTGCAAAACGCCGACGACGGTGCGGTACTTAGGCTGCTGTTGTGACCCCGAGAAACGTGTTCCGATATACTCAACCGCAACCAAGTAACGCTGCATCCTAGGGTTTACTGACTCAGCGATTACCAATCCTTCTCCTTCCTCTTCTTCGTCACTGAATCCCTCCAGCCTCGCAACCTTTGAGAGCCTCTCTTGAGAAGCTGTAGAGTCCTCTAGAGGATGCTTCAGATTAGAATCAGACATTCTTATTTCGATGATTGTTTGGTTTTTTCTCACACTGAAAGCGTAAGGGTTTTTTGACCCAAAAAAAAACGAAAGCGTAAGGGTTTAAGAATGTGTTTGGGTGTTCGTTTAACCTTGTCGGACACGTGGGCACAGACTAAAAGGTAAAGTGTTTGGATACTTGTTTTATCTTTGTCCTAATACATATCCATTTAGGCCCATTAATCTGAAAAATTAGACTTAAAATTTGATGGGTTGAGCCAGGCCCATGCAGTAGTGCAACGCATGGGCGACTCGTGAAAGCCCAGATAGCAAGCTATCTTAATGGGCCTTCTCCCTTAAAAAATAGAGTTAATATCGTGTGACCCGATGGGCCACATATCAGATATTAAACTGATAAGAACAGATACTACACTTGATCTTAGCCAAAAGGCCGAGAAAGGTATGATTTGAACGAAAAGCCCAGCGTCTTATTTATACAATCAGACCTTGAAGGCATTCACCTCTTATTCTCGATGTGGGACGTTTTAAAACAAATACAAAGCAAGTGGTTTTCCTTATATAAGTTTAGTAATTAAGAAATAAACTTTAGTATTTATCTTTTAGATTATTATTATAAGTATATAATAACCTCCTCCGAATATAACTGACAAGCCGCCCTAAGACCTAAGAGTTCCTTGTGCTCTAAGGATGGTGGGTTGCGATGTTATCAGCGAGCTGCCGGATTCTTTGCTAACGCACATACTCTCCTACCTTCCGACCAAAGACGCCGTTAAGACTAGTCTTTTGTCCAAGAGTTGGAGATTTCACTGGCTAGAGGTCACTTCAGAACTTGACTTAAACGCCGTTGACTTCCTTCGTTATGAAGACGAATCCTCTTTGGTGAGTTTAATGAACAGATCGTTCCTACGAAAGTTCAAGATTAAGTATGACTCCTCCTAGAGAAAAAAGAAGCGTGGGGATTCGTCGAATGTTGAGAATAGTGGCAAAAGAGTCATGGAGTGGATAGCCGAAGCGGTTCATCGTGGAGTTGAACACCTAGACGTGGAAAACGTGACGTCTAGACGTGCTTTCGATTTCATGCCTAAGTACCTCTACGTAAGCAAGACGTTAGTGTCTTTGACTCTTGTAAACGTAGGTCTTGAGGATCCCAAGTTTGAAGTTACTCTACCTTGTCTTAAAAGCATACATCTAGACAACATTTATTACCTGGGAGAAGACGGTCTTGTGATTATGGAGAGGCTCATCTCTGGGTCTCCTGTGTTAAAGAATCTTACAACGGACGTTCCTATTTTAAAAAAGCCAGAGCAAACCGTCTTCAGAGAGGTGCCTTGGTGTTTGGAGTATGTTAAGATCAACAAACTGACTATCAAGAAGAGGGAACCGGGGTTTGGAATAGTAAATTACTTTCTTGATAATTCACCAGCCCTTAAGAAAAGGACATTGAGTATCATAGATTCTCTTATGAACAATCAAGAGGCAGAGGCAGTGAGTTTCAAGAAGAATAAGGAATCTGGGATTGAACTAGTGAATTACTTTCTTGAGAATTCGCCAGCCCTCAAGAAAATGACACTGGGTTTCAGAGATTCTCATGTGACCAATGAAGAGGCAGAGAGCTACAAGAATCTACTTACACCCACAAAGCTTTCTCCCATGTGTCAGATCTTTTTGTCTATTTCACATGAGCATCGCCATTGACAATTAGTGTAGGAGGAACATGTATCTCCATGAAAAGGGCACTTAGGCTTTCTAGGTTCAGCTTGAGACTAGCTATTGGATGATAATGTACTTTCTTCATGTACATAGTGCACCTTCCTATCTTTTTTATCAACTTTGCACCTTATTTCTAATGACAACATATTCAACGATTGATTTATTTATGAGATTTGAAAATGAAATCTGCAATCTCTCAAAACACACTGAAGAAGAATGCCCTAACTAAGGAAAACATAACAAGAATCTGAACTAAGTAAATTAATTCACTAATAAATAGGAGAGGAACTAAGAATGTGTCTCATCTTGGATTGCGAGTGTTATTCTTGGAAACAGAATAGCCTCCTCTTATGGAGAGATTCTTGGTTTGATTGACAAGAGACTGTTGTTGTTGTCTGCTACTTCTGCTCCAATTATATCCTCTATCTTGATTCATTCTCCTATTGCCTCCATTCTCATACTGATGCAACTCAACAAACACAAATAAGGTTTTAGTTTTAAACAACGAAGTTAAAAGGTCATAAGAGCATTGCTTACATCATAGTCTCTCTCCTTGAAAACATCCATGCGAAGAGTAGCTGGTTTATGATCCTTCTTCAATCTAAGAGACTTCTCACGTTCTTCATAAAAGTCCATGTCATCTAACAAAGATGTCACCGCAGAAAACTTCTTGAATATCGAAAGCATTTGAAGACCTTCTTTGAGTTTGATCTCGTGAGTGTCCCTCGTATGAGTAACCGCCTTGCCCTCATTGTTGTCGAGGATGATATGGCATAGGTCCCAGTTAGGAACGTCTTTAACCACATGCCATTCCACAGGGAAGAAGCCGCACCACTTATCAACTTGCCAGAAATCTAAGTCCTTGTTCATGTCCACGTATCCAACCATCTCTGCTAATCCCACAAACTGTCTACTCGCATTCACCTGAATCAAAGAAAAGAATTAACCATGGTACTACTAAACCAGATAAGGAAAGGATTAAGCTCACTAACCGAGAAGAAGAGGAAAATTGGACGTTTCTTGCCATCAACGACGGTTTTGGCTTCAGCATCACGGTAAGCTGCATCGAGTTTCTTGTTTCCATTCACAGTACTTGACCATACTGAATATTTGATGCTCTTGTGAACATCATCTTCGCTGTAGGATTTGATAACGAAAAACTTGGCATCCTCGTAGTCTATCTGAAAATCCGGGAGGTTGAACATTTCTCTACGAAGATCCAAGACAAAAGAACTGTTTTGCTTCTTGAGTGATAATGATGACTCAGAAGGAGGGTGAGCCTTTGCACTGGTTCTCGGACCGCATTTCATTTCAGCTAATGAATCAGAATCTCCGTTTCTCTCAAGCTTCTTGTATTCATCTCTGTGATCCAAGAAACCCCTATTTGCATTTCCATGATCGTAACCATTTCTCTCAGGCTTCTTGTGTTCATCTCTGAGATCCCTGAAACCACTATTTGTATTTCCATTACTGTGGTAACCACTATATGGGACGGAGCTTGTCTTTTGATTGGGATGTTTTATAAACTGTCCTGCGGGTTGCTTTCCCTTCAAAAGGCAAAAAGAAAAGAGCTTTAAACCTCAGATTGTCTGGATAGAACATACAGAAAAGAGCTTTGGGCATTCTTATAACTATTAATATAGATAATATTAGGTACCTTGAATATGGGTCTGGACGCATGTGATTGTGTGAAGGAAGGAAGTCTACCATAAACATTGAGATTTTCTGGAGGCTTAGCATTTGAAACCGAAGTTTGAGACCAACAATAGCTTCTTGTTGCTCGATCACCGTGCAGATTCGAAGCATGAGAGTTATATGAACTGTTGTTTTTGTCACCGTGACTTGCCTGCAAAAAATGAATTAGCTCGAGACATGGTAGAATGTTAAAGAGTGAACTTGCATGAGCTACAAAAGCGAATGGACCAAAAAAATCAAACCTTTAGAAAATCCGTAGCACATGCTTGACCATTTTTGTTTGGCTGAGAAGGGACTACAACACATCCTGCAACACGCATCACAAAACACAAGACAAAATCACTTGAAAAAATAGCTATAGATCATTCACTGCTGAGCTAATAACCAATTATGCAAGTAGAATAACAAGGAAACTTGTTATCAAAAGGAAGGTTCTGATTTTTTTTACCTTGTATAAGAATTTATCCTGATTAATAATAGACTATCAGATTAATTAGGTGGTTGTCTTACCATTATCACCTGCACTAACGGCCACAGATGAGGTAGTTGACCCTTTGACGATACGACTTGTGTCAGCTGTTAGAAGAGACTGAAAAGATTACCAACATAAAATAAAAATAAGAAATCTTTATGCCAGCAGGAGAACGGGAGATTAATAATGAGGCTAATGAGATTTTGAATACCTCATCATGTTTCTTTGTTGTAGAATCAGCATCTGTTACAGTTCGCGGCTCAGCTAGAGAGTTAATATCAAGGGGGCAAACACAAATTGATATAGCAAAGAAAACCAAAAAAAGTCTACTAAAGAAAAAAATCAATAAAGTAAGGAAATACAGAGCAATCAAATTAAAGAGCCAGGCAGAAAAAGGATACAATCCATAGCATTCCTCTCAGTGGCCATTAACCAACTTTCAAAACACACTGCAGCCCTTAAAGGGGAAGCAAAATATAAGGTTTAGTATAGAGAAATTGCCCCAGATCTATAAGTACTACTACTAAGGGCAAACATGAGGTTGCAATTCCAGAGAAAAGATGCTTCCACTTAACCAAAGCTAACACCACAATAAACCGGAAGAACCCTCCCTTACAAAACTAGAACAGGATGCTTGATTTAAAGTATCAGTTTTTAAGGACAAAAGACAGGAACTTTGACAGTTACATTTTGTGGCTATGTTCTTACAAGACTAGAACAGGATGCTTGATTTAAAGTATCAGTTTTTAGGACAAAAGACTGAAACTTTAACAGTTACATACATCTTGTGGCTATGTTCTTACAAAACTAGAGAGGATGTTTGATCTAAAGTATCAGTTTTTAGGACAAAAGACTGAAACTTATCTTGTCGCTCTGTTCTTACATATCTAAAAAAACAAACTTTCAATGAACAAAAATTGTAAAAGCCTGCCCTTTTTTATTTAACAGTAACACCACTAGAATTGGAGTAGAATGGTTCAGAATTCTCCAGAAACAATTAGTAGTTGCAAACAAAAATCTATACATATAAATTCAGGGGAGTCATAAGAAAAAAAACCTGAAAAAAGAGGAAGAAACCGACGAAGAAGGGGTTTAGATTCGCCGGCAAACAAACAGTGGCAGCCGCTGGAGAACGGAAAAGGCGGAGAGAGGTTATGGCTGCGTTAAGTGTGTGGACTGTGGAGCGGGAGAGGGGAAAGTTAGCGTTGATGAACGAACCCTTGCGTAAATGGAAAGCATCTGACGGCTGAGAAACTACTTTATATAGCTTCTCACTGTAGATAATAGCTTGACCGTTGGATTCCCCATGCCCTTAAATTGGGCCTCAAAGGCTTGGAATCTTTAATTGGGCTTCAAATATAAACTCTTACTTTTCTTAAATACAATACTTATGCCACACCAAGAAGAACCTTAAACCACATTGCATGATGTACTGCGAGAAAGAAATTTACGATCTCGCATAAATAATCAGCAGCTTTTTTTATCTTTCTTCTATTTTTTTTTGGCTCGAACATTGACTATTTCATTCACCTTCAGAGTAGGATTATTGGCGTCCTAGGCCTAATATCTTAATAATTAAGGGACAAAAATATGAAAATTAGTCAATAACATTAGGGAATTAATAATATTAGGGACGCCGTTTAATTAAAAAGTTTTTGAGGTCGTCCTAACGAGCCACGTGGCATGTTGCGAATGGGCGATAATATTTTGTTAGGACAAAAATCGGTTTGTGTCCAAAATTCACTTTCATCGTCTTGCGGTTCTCTTTCGACGGCGATTTAGATGGTACTTCTCTTTTGACGGCGCATTTCTGTCGATGGCACTTTTTCTTGATGGCGCTTCTTTGTCAACGGTTCTCCTCCCGTTGATTTCGATCGCAATCCAGAGGATCTTGTTGTCTCATCTACATTGCTTTCCACAATTTGAAGGTGAAGAAGGTGTATATTCCTCTTCCGTATTGAGTATTTGCATTTATTTTGTTGTCGATCTACTTCCTTGGTATTTAGATTTGTTAACGTTGTAGATTTAGAGTTTTTCAAAATCTTGATTCGTCTTTGTGACATGTGTTGATATTTGGATATGATTGTCATGTCTGATTGTATGTTTGGTATTTGCGTAAAATAGATTGTAAATTAGTATAGATTAGTGTAGATTGAGAGTTTTCAAAATTTATTTCATCTTTCTAGGTTGTGAGAGAGTGTGGTGAAATCCTAAAATATATTGTTTTGAATAAGTGATATCTTGTGGTTTATTGTTGGCAAAATCATCACTTATTTGATGAAACTGATATATGTTCTTTCATTTGATTCTGAATCTTTTATTAGGTGAGGTTCATTTGGTTCACAATAACCCGGATAATTAACAACTCTAAGAAAAACGACCATTTTATCCAAAGTACAAGGTAATTCACTTTCACTTGAGCTCCAATAATTGTTAATAGCAGCTTCACTTAATGAATTGATAAGTCGGATTGAAAACATGTAGGCATGAACTCTGATTTCATAGAAGTAATCTTGTTTGTATAATGAAATGATAATCTAGTTTGTTTGCAACCAAATCATGTTTTATTTTAATGGAAAGTAAGTATGCTCATGTTTAGTTGGCTTAAGTTTCATTTTCTTTCTTGTATTAGTTTCCACTTAGTTAAATCTAGTTTATATTAGCCAAAAAAATGTTCGGTTTCGTTGAAGTTTTAATAATAATGTTATCTTCGTTAAGATATTAAAAGAAAATGAACTAACTTTGTCCCGTCTTCTGAATCCCTACAAGTACAACACTCGCTTTGCCAAAATCGACTCGAACCTGATTTTAAGTATTCTTTCATTCATTGGTGTTAGAGCTTTGCTAAGTGATTGAATGTTTTCTTTTTGCTGCTAAATGTTGATTTCATGTCTTGTTTCGGTTAGTGCATTTTGATGGTCTTCATATAAATGACTGATGTAGAGTTTGTATCAGGGGATGAAGATCTTACATATTATGTTGAAATGGCTATAAATTTCGGCAAAACGTCGAACAAGAGTTTGGTATAGACAAATTCATCAACAATTAAAAGATGATTTGATTGAAAATATATGGACTAAATTTGGACATCTTCCAAAAACATATAATGTTTAAGTTTCTATGAATTGTATGTTTTCTGTTTTTAATTTATGTTTTCATTGTTCTCTTTTAAATTTTTTAATGTTTTAATAGTAAGTTTTTAAAAAAAATTTTTTTGCCAACTTTGTAATTTTCTTATGTTTTAATATTATATGATTTATTTAAAACATATATTACTTATTAAAATACATAATTAATTTGTTAAGAAACACCATAAAATCCCACCAAGAATTTGTACCTTTGCTAATATCTCTTAGAATTGTCTCTTAACTTAAAAATAATAATAAAACAACCTAAGAACTCTAAAACTTGTCCTATCAATAATGTTGATCTTAGATTGTTACAAAGATTTTGACCACACCAGTTCAACTATAGACTATCTTTCTTCTGTTTAGCTTAGAAGTTTAATGTCCAACTTTCATAAATAACATGAACTGTAACTGATTATATCTAATGAAAGTAGACTCTATTTTCCTTACAATTGAGCTTTTTGTTTCTTTTTTCACTATACCATTGAAGCTTGCTTTGCCTAGGTAACGACGCTATGAAAGTTACAGTCAAAAGGAAAAGATAGAACAGCTTTGACTACCAAAAAAATCAATTACTCTCACAAATAATACCATCTTTTTGAACTTTACTCTCAGTAGCTTTGAAAATGAATCATCCCCAAATATAATTAAGAGTTTAAGATGTGGTTACTAATCCTTTTCATGGATTTGTATTCAGAATACCATGTTTGTGTTTTCACTATGAAGCATAGGAAAAACAAGATAATTCATAGACTAGCTTTGAACATTATATTTTTTTTATTAAAAAACATTATATATATATATATATTTTTCTAACATTATATTATTAACCATTGTTAATCTCTTATCGTTGTTTTTTTCTGTTAAATCACCATCAATTTTCTTTTTAAATTAAAAACAATGATTATATAATCTCATAACTTAAATGCAGTGACTTATTCTGAACAGCAAACGTATTTTTGGGTCAGGGCTTTTGGTTATTCACATGCATATTACTATTTTGGAAAACAATCTATTATTATTGATATAAAATTATATGAAATCGAGTATTCAATAGAGAAATTTGTCCTATAACCATAAAAAACATAAACATACTAAATAACCAAATCACACCCTCTCTTCTCTTTTTTTCCTAGCTCTCTCTACTCTCTTTCTAAAAAATTAATTTTACTCTTTTTTTTGGTTATATCACAAATAAACCCAATTTACTTGTTAGTTTTCAAAAGTGATGATTCCATTTTTCGCAATATCCTATACATATGCTATTCTGTTAGTTTTTGCTAGTGTCATACTCTTATGTTGGAGTCGGCTGGACCCCTAAAAATAACTCCTCACCTGCTGATTCTAAAATGAACCGTTATAGCTTAGCTTTCAGACTTCATATAAATAGAGCATTAAGAAGAACATGAATTATTTGTGTAGAAGATGAGACGCATGTAAGCCCTTTCTCAAAAAAATATAAAAAATGAAAAGACGCATGTTTTCTTTTGGCTTTGTTTCTTTTATACTTTAACTCTAATGCATATGTCTATCCCGTAGATATTGCAGGTGTTTCTTTATTTATTTACCAATTAATTATGTTCATGTGTTTCTATGCACCCATCACATTAGACACATTTGTTTTATTATCCATGACTGATTCGGTAAGGCTGGAGAAACTTCTTTAGGACATAACAAAAAGAGAAAGAAGTAAAATAAATGGTTCAAATGAAAATGGCCAAGAGGAAAAGAAAAGCTAAAGAGTGAATAGAAAAAGAGAGGATCACATGATGGCCTCTTTTTTGTCATGAATGATTTGTGACTATGAGTCACAAGAGCCAAAAGCTCCAGTTCTATTTTTCTACATTAAAATCATTCCAACTTTTGAATTTTGCTTTGCTGTATGTTCACCTAAGCCCCCACTCTTCTCTAAATGCCAAATTGTCTTTCATAATAATTAGCTCCCTAATAATTAAAACAGATTTTATTCACCAACTCCTCTGATAATAACTTACAGCACTAGTATCTTACAATCAATTTTGAAGCAAGCATCTTGGATCAGTCATATATTAAAACTTTTAAAGTAGCAAGACTATTATATTGAAACTAAGTATAATATCAACAAAAAAAATATAATATCAACAGAAGGTTATGTGTCATTAAATTATCACAATTAGCTAATCATTTTTCAAAATTAGTTCTTATTTTGAATAATCTGTATTTTTATTACATGGTCTGAAACACTTTCTAGAAATTTTCACATGCTTATTATCTCTTTCCATTGGTATTTTTTAACTTTTAACCTTAATAGAAAAAACACTCGGCTCATGTGCATGCATATAGTTAGGTCTCTCCGCTTTTGCCGCAGTTAGTTAAGCTATTTTCTTTCTTTAAATAATTGTTTTTGCACATAATTATTCTGTTTTGAGAAATTCATTCGATTGCGGTAGATTTGGACCATCATTGCCCACATGTGTTGAACTTTTTTCATAATTTGAATTCCTGAAAAGCATGTGTTTTCACCTAACTTGTAAGGTTCCAGTAATTTTTGCTAGATTTTAATTTACTTTTATCATACACACGATAATAACATAGAATAATGTTCAGTTGGGAATCTACAAATAAATTTTAAATTCCAGCACAATGGTAGAACATATCATGATATCATCAAAGACAATGCGCTAGTGCTAATACTTTAAAAATGTTTTTTCACAACTCCTTAAAGCATGTTAATTAACTCTAAGGAGTTTATATGCATATTCTAAAATTAAATCTAAATCTAACAAACTGTGTAAATTATATGTTGGTAAAAATAAGTGAAACATCATAGCGCAGATGTCTTTAAAAAAACATCATAGCGTAGAAGTCCGTATTGTGTTTTTATCAATAAATGTAAATATGCATGTTACTGATACAATTTAAAATTTTCAAACTGCATGCGTGACTAAGCAAATTCATACGTAAATATTAACATGTTAACACAAAATATCATATCAAATATACATGATTATGCAGTTTATATATATATATATATATGTACATGATTATAGTGTTATCAATGATGCTATATCGCGGTTCTGTAAGGATCTTTTAAGCATTGACCATTGTTCATAACATAACATAAAGAAATCTGACCGTCCAAGACAAATGTGTCCACAAAGATCTATGTATTTATGCTACTTATTAACACTTACTTTTTAAATTACTCTATGGAAAGTAAAACCTTTAGCTTGTATCCCCCTGAATAATTAAGCTCTAAAGTATTCCATTTGCTGTTAAATTGATTTTTTTTTTATCGATTTCCGGGAGAATTACGCTTTACTTTCCATTTGGTATAATTATCATGTCTATCTTTCCAAAATGATTTTTTTCAAAAATACTTAAAGGTGAGGTTTCATTAAGGAGGTAAAAACATTTATACATTTATTTTATAAACATATAAATATAATTAATTAATTAAAAAAATAGTTTCGAATTTTACCTTTCTAAAAAAAAAAAAAAAAAAAAAAAAAAAAATTTTCTAAATTTCTTTTTTAATTTTTGATTTTTACAAGTTTTTTTTTTAATTTCAAAAATTCTTTTGAAACTATTTTTCAAACTTTTAATTTTATGTATTTATTTATATATTTATCAAAATTCTAAACCCCATCCTCCAAAATCTTAATGTTCAAGTCTAAACTATATTTTATAATATTTAATCATATGGCTATAAGTATCTATTTACTCTTTCAAACCAAGAGTAAATGTGATTAAACTAAATTAGAAAATGGATATCACGAAATTGGTAGTTTTTAGGGACAATTGCAAAAATACCATTTTTGTGATACCATAATTCAACTTTACCACCATTTAAGGGACATTTTCATAAATACCTAGAACAATCATCAATAAATGACACAATTACCCCAACCAGATCTATCATCTAGCTCTTACCCTTCCCACATCTCCTCCATCACCATCGTCGCCTGGTCCGGCCACGCCGCTGCTTCCGGCGGTTCCGACGACACAATTCACCTCTACAACCTCCCTTCCTCATCCTCCCTCGACTCCCTCCTCGACCACAACCACACAGCTTCAATCACCGCCCTCTCCTTCTACACTCCCTCTTCCCTCTCAATCTCATCTCCGCCGCCGCCGATGGCTCTGTCGCGATCTTCCATCCCTATTTTCATGGAGCTCTATCAGAAGAGCATAATTTACGGAGTCTCATGGAAACCGCATTCCTCTTCTTTGTCTCTCTTTCTACCTCTGCTTTTCATTCTTTTTTTTAGGTAATGTTTCCCCTTTCCTTTTTCCTCACCCAACATATTCACGATTAGGTTTTCAAAAACGTTTGTAAAGATGGCATTTTTATTTGAGACCTGGATCAATGATCTGATTGTGTGGCAGAGTTTTTTTTATGATAGAATCAATTTCTGTGATTATTGTGTTGAATTTACTTTAAATTTGGTAGCTTTTGGATTGGTTTCAGATGTGTATCGTATTAGTTTCTCCTCATTGTTGAATTACTTTCTTATTGTTTTGTGGCATTGTTTATTTTGTGAATGCAAGACTGAGCTTTATTTATGTGTTGTTGTCAAGAAACCCAAATCGATGAGAAAACCCGTGAAGTTAAGGGCTAAGAAGAGTTAGTAGCAGCGAAGGAGAAACTTCTATTTGTCTATTTGGTTTGAAGTTGATATCATATAAGTTAAATGTTATCCCAAATAGAATATTTTGAAAACCACGTTAACCTTTATTTCTAGATTTATATAATATCATCGTGTTAATGGAGGACAGTTTGTAAAGCCAAAAGAAATGTTGATTCCTTCCTTTGGTTAAATAAACACTATCAGAAAGTTAAATAGGCTTTGGATCACTGAAACATAAGCTCATCCTTTTTTGGTTCACTTTTTCTTCAGCTTGCAAAGGTTATGAGATGCACATCAGATCCAGACTCTCTGTTTCATCATCTTCAATGGCTCTTGGGTTGCTTCAGATCCTGATGATCACTTCTCTTCACTTGATCTCTCTATCAAGTCAACAAGAGACAAGGTTTGTCTATGAAAACTTTACCTCCCAACAAAACCTTTACCTAGATGCTTCTGCAAAAGTACTACCTCCCAGTGGATTACTTCAGCTGACAAACAATTCAGATTATCAAATGGGCCGAGCTTTCTACAAGAAACCAATTCAGTTCAGTTCCTTTTCAACTCATTTCGTGTGTGCTCTGGTGCCTAAGCCAGGTGTTGAACCCGGCCATGGTGTCACCTTTTTAGTATCTTCTTCTCTAGACTTCTCTAACGCACAAGCAAAAAGATACTTGGGGGCTTTCAACGCATCAGTAACTCACGCTATTGCTGTTGAGCTTGACACTATATGGAACCCTGAGTTTAATGATATCAAAGACGGTAACGGTCACATGGGTATTGATGTGACCAATCCTATATCCATCGCAGTAGCTCAACCATCTTACTATTCCAAAGGAGAAACGTAAACTTAAACCTCTTGTCAAGAAACCCTATACAGGCCTGGGTGGATTATGATGGCTCTATGCTCAATGTCTCGTTGGCACCTGTTGAAGTCAAGAAGCCAAGTCTACCTCTTTTGTCACAACCAATCAACCTTTCAGATATTTTTCTGAATAGATCAAAACTGTTTGTTGGATTCTCTGCTGCAACAGGGAACACTGTGAGTGATCACTATATTCTTTGGTGGAGTTTCAGCACAAGGAAAGGAGAATCATCACTGCAGCGACTTGACATCTCAAAACTTCCTCAAGTTCCTTGTCCTAAACCTCTTCCTACAGTTCATCCTAAAGCTCGGCATAAGATGCTACCTACATGGATTTATTGCTCTGGTTGTTTGTGTGGTGATTATGGTGTTGGCTGTTCTTGCAGGAGTTTATTTCCACAGGAGGAAGAAGTTTTCAGAAGTTTCTGAAACATGGGAAAAGGAGTTTGATGCGCATCGGTTCTCTTACAAGTCTTTATACAAAGCAACAAAAGGGTTTAGTAAAGATGAGTTTCTAGGAAAAGGNTACATGGATTTATTGCTCTGGTTGTTTGTGTGGTGATTATGGTGTTGGCTGTTCTTGCAGGAGTTTATTTCCACAGGAGGAAGAAGTTTTCAGAAGTTTCTGAAACATGGGAAAAGGAGTTTGATGCGCATCGGTTCTCTTACAAGTCTTTATACAAAGCAACAAAAGGGTTTAGTAAAGATGAGTTTCTAGGAAAAGGAGGTTTTGGTGAAGTCTATAGAGGAAACCTTCCTCAAGGGAGAAAGATAGCAGTGAAGAGAGTTTCCCACAATGGTGATGAAGGTGTGAAGCAGTTTGTGGCTGAGGTCGTGTCCATGAGATGTCTGAAACACATGAATCTTGTTCCGCTTTTCGATTACTGCAGGAGAAAGCCTGAGCTTCTTTTGGTCTCAGAGTACATGCCTAACGGTAGTCTCTGTTAGTTTTCTTTATAGAAGCATTAACTTGTATTACCACTCTCAGTGAACAAGCAAGTCAAAAGTTTAATTTTATTGGATGAAATTAGCAAATCTTAAAATCAATTTATAAACATTTATGAATTAATTTATACACTCTTGTAAATTAAAATAAAATCTCTTATAAATTAGTTTATAAGATTTCATAAATCAGTTATTGAACCCTTATAAACCTCTATAAATAATATATAAGCTTTTCTATATACTATATTAACTCATAAATGTAGATACCTTATAAATGTTTTATAAACCCTTATAAATTATTTATAAACACTTATAAATGACTTTTAAACCTTATGAATAATTTATAAATCCTTATAAAATGATTTTATATGTACTCTTATTTTAAATCTATTTAATTTTGTCAACAACATATAAAATTTTATAAGATTTCTGGATTTTATAAGGTTTTAGTTGCTTATCGACAGAAGCTTCACTTTTTAATTCACTCTTGCTCAATGTAGACATGGAGCCACTGAGAACTATTTATAAGGGTTTATAAAACCATCTACAAGAGAAACTCTTATAAGAGAATATATAAAGTCATTTTATAAGGATTTATAAATTGTTCATAAGGTTTAAAAGTCATTTATAAGTGTTTATAAATAAATTATAAGGGTTTATAAAACATTTAATAAAATCTTATAAATGTGCAAAATTTTGATATTTCCTTAGTAAGAATTTAAAAGTTTTTATATTATTTATCAACTCTTCATTTTAGAGTAGTGGAGCTTCCGGCAAGAAAGCTCACTGTACTACCATAGCCCGAGAAACTTTCAAATGGCATTA